GAAGTTGCAGGGAGAAACTCCTCTGTAGGGGCGCCACCCTTCTTTATTATTACGCAGTAATTTCTGTGATCATTTTATTGCTTTAAGGACAAAGATATTGAAGAATAAACTTAAAAACATTAAAGAATACACTTAAAAATAGATGAAAACAGATAGCATATTTGTCTTACCGCTTCTTTATTTATATATAAATTTTAGAGAGAAAGAGGAAGTGGGGGGAGAGAGAGAGAAAGAGAAACATTGATTTGTCATTCCACTTATTTGTGCATTCATTGGTTGATTCTTGTATGTGCCCTGATTGAAGATCAAACCCACAACCTTGGCATATTGGGACAATGTTCTAACCAACTGAACTACCCAGCCAGAGCTGTCTTACTTATCCTTTAATAAACATTGCATTCTACATGGAAATTAATTCAGAGTTAATTAGCATTCTTTCATTTCAGCTTGAAGAACTCCCTTTAACATTTTCTGTGAGGCTGGTGTTGTCTTTTTTCCCCTCTTTTTATATTTCTGTGTAAGTTAATACATATTAACTGCTCTTGGGTATTATTAACCTTGTATCCATAGGTGAGAAATTGTTTCAAATTTATCAATTCAAACAAGCTTTTAAAAAATTGATCTGATGTATTCTGGACATAACTGAACATAATCTGATTATTCATGACAATCATTATACTACTGTATTGAATAAATGCTTGAAGAAAAGTTATACATGAGCATTTATAGGACAAAAGTAATAACAGTTATATATATCAAGGCATTTAGGCTTCCAGATTAAACCAAATCCTAGAACAGGCCAAAGCATACTTAAACCCTTGTGGCTGATATCAATAATTATAAATAGCATTAGTAATTATAAATAAATAGGCAGAGTGATGGAATTCTAGAACTGGAAAGAGCTCTAGAAGTCAAGGTCAATCCTCTAGTTGAAATAAACAGTCTAAACCTCACAGGTTTAATGGTTTGGTTATTTCAATAAAACAAATGGCCTAGTTAAGACTACAAAATTAAGAGGGAGAAAAGCAAAAATAACAAACATTAAAAATCTCTTTCAGATAATGGGAAAAATAAAAGAAAATTTAAAAAATTTCATGTAATATTTTTAAAAAATTTATTATGTATTGGTTTTAGGTATACAGCATTTTGTTTAGATAGTCGTATACTTTACATAGTGTTCCCCTCAATATTTTTAGTACCCTAACTGGCACCATGCATATTTATCACAATATTATTGACTATATTTCCTATGCTTTACTTCCCTGTGACTATTTCGTAACTACCAATTTGGGCTACTTACTTTCTTTTCCTTCGTTCACCCAGCGCCTCAACCCTGTCCTCTCTGGCAATCACCTGTTCTCTCTCTGTACCTATGAGTCTGTTCCAATTTTGTTTATTTTGTTTCTTAGATATGTTATTTTTGCTTAAGTGGTATTTTACCACAATGCAGGAGGTCAAGCCCGGGGATCTCGACTGCTCATTTGGGTAAGCCGAAAAAACTACAAGGAGGACTGGATGGAGTGGATTTAGCTCCTTTCTTTTTTTTCTTTTTTCTTTTTATTTTTTTTACCTTTTAACATTTCTTATTAAAAAAATTTTTTTTATTGTTTAATTACAGTTGTCCCTACTACTCTCCTCTGCTCTACCCACCCCCCCACGTCCCACATTTAATCCTCCTCTCCCAACCCCCGCCCAACCCCCGCCATTTTCTGTGTCCATGGATCCTTTATACATGTTCCTTGAAACAGACTTAGCCTTTGTTACATTGCAGGGAGCTCTGATGGTAGCAGATCAGTGAAGCAGGACTATACTTCCCTGAGTCTGAGAATTGTTTTGAGGGATCCCAGACAAAGGGGGCACATTTCTTGTGCCTGACCCTAAACTACATTGCCTCAGTGTGTAAGTGCGAAGAAAAAAGGTCAGGAAGCGGTCACACAGGAAAGAAGCCGCTCCCTAAAGGAGATAAGGAGGGAATTGCAATCCATTTCCAAAGCCATACACACTCCTTCTGGCCCGGGCCCCTCCAGCCAGCCTTCCATTATGGGGGTTGGAGGAACCCTGTCCAGCATGACCTCACAATTATGTTAATTGATTTGTAAATATTATACCCACCTTGCATCCCTGCAATAAATCCCACTTGATTAGGGCTTATGATCTTCTTAGAATTTGACAGTAACTGCTAGAATTGCCAATTAGGAGAATTAAAATGGCTTTTCAACATATTTTATTTGTTCTGTTCTTGTTAGTACTACAGCTGAATCTGGACCACTGATCAACTTTCCTCATTGCATGAACTGCATCTTCTTTATGGGCAAAGCCTTTTTCTGATACTGGCAGATAAAGACCATAATATAAGATTGCATAAATCAGGGTCTTATTATTTCTTGCACTAGTCATTGGAACGCTCCCATTTTATCTGTGAGAAAGCTGAGGATGAGGGTAAATGTTTGTCCAGAAATTCTGAAAAATAAACAACATTGCTATCCATCCACACCCTGTTGTTTTTAACTCCTATACACTGTTAGCATCTAACTGAACTGAAATTTTTTTATTGTTTTTCAAGTACAGTTGTCTCCATTTTCCCTTCACTACTCCCCACTCCCACCCTCAATCTTAGCCCCCTTTGGCTTTGTCCACGTCTCCTTTATACATGTTCCTTAACTACCCTTCCCCTATTTCCCCCCATTATCCCTTTCTCTCCTCCCCTCTAGTTACTGTCAGTTTGTTCTTTATTTCAATGTCTCTGGTTATATTTTGCTTGCTTGTTTTGTTGATTATGTTCCACTTATTGGTGAGATCATATGGGAAGTAAATTCTTTACTGTAACCAATTTATGTACTACATTCTTTAATATTCCAGTTAATGACGCTAATATACCTTTTTGCCTTCATTTGAGAAGGAAAACAATTTACCTGGACAGTAATGGCTTAGGGTTTTACTGAAAGCCCCCCTTACTTTTGACAAATTTTAAAGACTTATCTGGATGATATAATTTTCCCTACAGGTTCTACCGTGCTGTGAGATAAGAATGATTTATTTCTTTACTCTTCTCAAGTCTCCTGACTGGAAGATAGCATCCCCTGTTAAAACATATGGCCTTAAAAGAACATAAAGTCTATAAAAAAATTTCAGTTTGTCCAAACTCAGGTCTGATCCTGAGACACCTAATATCGGAACAAGAACTATACCTGGATCCAAATAGGCTTTTTGGTGTGTTGAGTTTCACAAGATTTTCTTGGGCTGGTTGGGCTATTGACAAAAATTGGATTCCAAAACCTTATGTATTTTACTAAAGAATGACAGTCCTGACACAATTTTGTGGGTGGAATGGGATGAAATAGCCTTTAGAGCCTTAAAGGAAGGTTTAATAAACTCATCTTCTCCTAAGCATCTTAATGATCAGATTCCCCTTTTCCTTTTTGTAAATGAAAAAGGAATGGAATGCCTTTGGGCTACTCACCCAAAAACATCAGGATCATCATAGAACCCTAAGATATTAGGGTCAGCAGTTTGACCCTGTGGCTAAGGAATGCCACACTCCTTGCTTTAAAACCACTGGTGCTACTGGCCCATTGATTAAGGCTACAGAGAAAAAAAATGTTAAGTAACTTATGCAAAGAATAAAATCATTGTGAAAGTTTTTCTGTGCATTTAAATTGTATGCAAATTACATTTTTTTACACAGCAACTATTTCTAGTGCTTTACAATATTCACACATTCATCCTTTCTACAACCCCATGAGGTAGTTAATACCAGAGTTTATCTGCATTTCACTGGTAGGGAAGATGAGGTATAGGGTATTTCCTCTTACACTTCCTCAAAAAAAGTTTAACCAGATTAAATTTTTGGCAAATTATCTGTGGAAAAACAATTTAATGACTTAATTTTTGTTTTCCAAAGCATCACTGACTTTTGTCATCTTTTATGTGTTATTGACCATTTTACTTTTGTGAATTTTCTATTCATATTCATCATCTATTTTCACGATGCAGTGTGGACTGATTTTCTTTTTGTTGTTGTTGGAGATTTGTAGTAGTCCTCACAATGAATACCAATACTTTTTCTGTTACCTGTGTTGCATGATTTAATAATATTATCTACTATGGCACTATATTAGTTTCTTAAAATGTGTCAATTATCTAGAGGAGTTGCATGGAAAACTCTGTAGTAAGTTTTTTTAAAATATTATTTCCCCATCATCAGAGTTTTAATTTGTTTTCAAAATAAATTTCATGCCTTAGGCTGGAGAATGTTTGTTGTAAGACTTTGATGTTGGTTTTTTTGGCCAATAAAGATTGATAAATGATTTTCTTATTTTGGATGAATTTGTTCATAAATTATTGTCTTGATGTGCAGATTTCAGGAGAGTCTTCAGGTTCTTTTGGTTTGATTTACCAATTTTCGATAATATTTATGTAACTTTTGTATTCTTCTCAATGTTACTGATTATGTCATAGTGTGCCTAGGTGTAATAAAAATGACAAATACGTTATTTTTTATGTAATGAGAAAGAATTGAATGTTTACATATAAGAGCTAGGGGAGGAATGGGGCAACAGTGCTATGAGGAAAGAGACAAAAGAAAGACAGACATCCTGGTCTGGCATGGTTATATAGAATAATCATTATTATTTCAAATAGTGTTCAACAAACATTGAATTTCACACCATTTCTGTCAGCAGATAAGTGATACATCTTATTCTGAATGAAATATAGATATTTATATACATCAGAGAGAATGAAAATTTAGTAAGTCCCTTTAAAAGTACAGATTCTATAGTATCTTAATCTACAATTAATACCTTACATCAATTACTAAAGGCTGATATGCGAGTGAAAGCAACCAGGTGAATATTTTTAAGGGCATGAGGAAAAGATAATTTAGTTTGTGAAATCAAAGATTTTCATAAGATTTTCAGCCAATTTTATAATACGAAGCAGGTAGTAGCTGTTATCTTTCTAATTCAACAAACTGGGAAATAAATTAAACTGGCTGAAGGCAAACAACTTGCCATGTCTTTAGGTAAGAAACAGTGCTGAAGCTGGATGCACAGTAAATGTTAAGGAGCATTGTTGTCTTCCAAAATGAAATGGAAGGGTGAATCTTTTTACAGAATTCCAGTGATTGAGGTCCCTTAACAAAAATAAAAGCTACAAAATTCTGCACCAAAATGAACTTAAAATATTCTGATTGTCTGAAAAATAATATGGATACTATGAGTACACTTCTTAATGTTTTTTGTGTTTATGCACAATATTGTGAAACACCGTTAAACTCAGTAACTTTATTTTTTGTGCATCAAAGCAGTAAAGTTCAATATAAACCCATACAGTTTTTTATTTTTAATTTTTCCAAGTTTTTTCCCTTTGAAATGAAATATTTATGGTGCAAACAGGTAGTAAATCACTTGAAAACAAATACTGATCTAAAAAGCTAAACTGAGAGAAGTCATTTTGTTACAGGGAGAAAGGATCCTTACATCACAACTTCTTGCTGGAATAAACTGGAGGAATCCCATCTATGTGGCATATCAGCTTCAGGCCTCAGAAACAGCTAGTCCCTTTTCCCCTTTCCTGTTTTGGCAAACTTGCGGCAACAAAACAGACAACATTTTGTGACTACAAGAGCTGCAGTTGCCACACAGGCCAGCAGGAACCCAATCACATCCAAAGAGTGGTACTGGAACCAGTTGAGGTCATAGGAGGCCGGCCGCAGGTGTGTGGCTCTTTTGTGGCGCATGACAAACTCAATCCAGAAGACTGCTCGATCCAGAGGCTTCACTGGCTGCTCATGTTGAATTCTGGATAATTTCATAGCATTCTCCTTATATCTAAAGGAGAAACACAGAGGTGTCAACATTGAAAGGAATTAATTTACTAAGCTATTCAAACCCATCAAGGGTTTTTGTCAAACAAATTTTTAAAAATATATGCCTTAGAATTACAAAAGTAGTAGTATATTTTTATTTGGGTTTCAAAGAAAGTTTGACTTCTAAATTAGAATTTTCTGATTGAAAAATATGTTAAACAGTGAAGATGGAAGATAAAGTGGGAAAATTAAAAATCTTTTTTTAGCAGAGTAAATGATAGGAGCCATTCTATAAATATGTCAGAGTGGAAATGTATCTTTAGGATAATGCTCTAAAAGTTTTTAAAGAGGAATTGTGTTATGGTGGGAGAAATACTTCCTCACAAGTCTCTGTACTTCTACTCTTCTCTTCATAACTGTCTATTTTTAACCCTGTAGCCAAAATAAATATTTTTGAAACCCATCAGAATAAGACACTTGCCTGTGCAAAATTGCTATTTGGTAAGATAAAGAATAAAATCCACCTCTATTCTTTGTCCTACAGGACCTTACATGGACAGACCTCTGGCTACCTCTTCTATCATTCTGCCCTATGCACGTTCTTGTAGTCACAATGATCTGGCTATTCATGGAAGCTATCAAATGTGTTCTCACGTCAGCATGTTTGCACTTTGTGTCTCTTTCTTCTCCTGGAGCAGTTTTTCCTGCAAAATCTCAAGCCTGCTTCTACCTCTGCTGGAGACCTGGGATCATGTCACATCTCATAGAAGTTTTTCCTTGCCGCACAATGATAGCATACCTCAGCATTTCTTTCATGTTTTTTTCCTCCTATTTGATTCCTAGATTTTAAAATACATTTTATAAAACATACCTTCAATTTATCTATGAAATACGTAAGGAATACATATATTCTAAATGATAAGCTCAAAATTTCAAAATTATCAAGAAAATTATCATGATTGAACACATCAGTATACCCATTCATTATCCATAGAAGCACCCAATTCCTGGACCATTTTGCTACTCTCTTCTCCAAATTACCTGGTCTGCAGACTCATGATTCCATAAATTAGTTTTTCTTGTTAATATATTGGAATCTTATAGTATATAATTATTTTTTCCTGTAGCAGTTGCTGGTTTATTCCTTTATTTATAGTATTTTATTGTATGACAATACCACAAATTATTTCTTCATTTAATGACCAATGGACATTTAGATTGTTAATAATTTTTCAGCCATTAATACTAATGCTATTATAAACATTTTTGAAAATGTCTATGTATGCATTTCTGTTGCATGTAAATCTAGAAGTGGATTTGATGAGAAAGTGCATGTCTGATTATGATTTCTTTGTTGAAGCTGAATTATCTAGAAATGCATTGCTTAATTTTCCAAGTTTAGAGATTTTTTTTGTTATCTTTCTAAAAGTGATTTCTAACTTAATTTTAGTCTGGCCAGACAATATACTCTTTATTATCTAAAATTTTTAAAATACTGAATCTTGGTTTATGCTATAGCATATACGGTCAATTTCATTAATAAATTTATATGGTCTTGATAAATGTGTTTTTCCATTGTTTTATATTTGGGAAAAAGAGTAGTGAGAGGGTCCAGGAACGAGTTGCTTCTATGTAGTTTGTGGACTATATATATGTATATATGTATATATATGTGGAACATATATTTATATATTTACCTATAAATATATATTATCTGTATATAAGAATATTCAATATGATGTATATAATTTATCTATACATAAACATATTAGTAGGTGGTAGGTATTACTAAAGAATAATTTGTTTTGTTTTGAAAGATTGACCTATTTATTATTCTGAAATATTTCTCTTTATTTTTGGTAGTGCTTATCTAACCATATCCGATAGTAGTGCTTCTTGTCTAACTATATCTATAGCTATAACATCTTTCTATGATTACTGTTGAAATAAATCTTTTCCTATCTTTGTACTTAACAATCTTGTACACTACAATTTAAACATGTTTTTTATTTGTTTATTTTATCCATATAACCTTTATTCAGAGGTGCTATTAATTTTCTATAATTCTGCAGAACTGTGTCAAAAATTTTGCCTTCAAAAGCAAGCATCCTGACCTCCTAGACCACTATGGTGTGAGTAAACTGAATCCCAAGCATGAATTATTTCTGGATTAACTCAAATTGTAATTAATATCCAGGCTTGTGAACTATTCATGTAGAAATGTTTTTGGTGGCTAAAAATATCCTTACCCTTTGCTTTATTTAATTCTCTTGGCAAAACCAAAAATTTAATTCTGTTATAGAAAGGGAATAGCACTGGAATTGATTTGATAAAAAGAAAACCTTCATTCTTCTAAAATAATTTTAATAATCAAAGTGTTTTGGGGACGATTTAGAATTTCGGTTGAAACTAGTAACACTCTCAAACACCACTATTATATTTGCAAACTTACTTTTTTAAGGCACGAAGCCTTTTCCCCTGTTCCCTCCCATTCTTTTTTCCTTTTATTTATCTCTGCCCTGCATCATTCTAAAAATTAGTTCAGACTCCCTGACAGCTGTCTATATAATAACCAGGAACTATGGTGCAGATACAGCAGAAATAGCTTACATGCATTTAATCACATGGCAATTTTCTTTCCCTGGTATATACTTGGTCCACTCCCCCTCGCTTCTTCTAACTCCATCCTGGTCCCAGGAAAGCACTTACTATCTTAAAATTTCAAAGCCATGAAAAAACAGAATGGCAAAATCACACTAACTTTATTTCTTCATAAAGGAAATAAATACCTGTACACCTCCATAATTTGAAACCCTTGGGGGACCTAAGGAATATAAGGTTTGGGAGTTACAAGCTAAAAAAAAAAGATAAGGATAAAGGTGAGGTGAGTGAGAAGAAATTGAGTGTAACTATAAAAGGACATGTGGAAGAATCTTTGTGGTGATGGAAATGTCCTGTATCTTGGCTATATCAATTTCAATTTCCTGGTTGTGATAATGTACTATCTTTTAAAAAATACTACCACCATCAGGGGAAACTGGGTAAATGGTGCATGGGATCTTTCTGTATTATTTCTTACAATTGTATGTGAATTTGTAATCATCTAAAAAAAATAATTTTAAAAGTATCTATAAAAACATAAAAATTGAATGCAGAGGAAATATCTTAAACAAACTCTCAAGTAATTAGATATATGCCACATAAAATTTAAAAAAGGACAAGAGATAATCACAACATGCTTTCAAGTAAAGTCATTTAAGTACAAAATCAGATTTGCTGATTTTAAGTCCTATTCCTTTGTTCTTGACAGCACTGGTGACTTAAGTATTTTTTTTTTCCCTGTCCACCCAGTGAGAATTCATGCTGAATGAAAAGTCACAAGATATTAAAAGAATATAAAATTCTAAAATGTTCATTTTATATTTTGGAGAGAACTTTGTTATGATCAGGAATTTTACTGAATTCAAATTCAAACTAAAATTGAGCCAATTTTAGTAAAATTAGGACTTATTATCAGTAAAGTTGTCTATACACAGATGAGTGAGGGACACTCCAGGCAACATTGCTGACATGTTGGAATGCTGTGGAAATTGACAGAAAGACTATCCCGGGGCTTAAAAGGACTCTGATGTGTTGAGATCTGGTCATTGTCTTTGCTTTCAAGGGCCTTGTAGTATAATTTGGTATCAAGTAGTGTAAGTCTTTCTACTTTGTTATTCTTTCTCAAGATTTCTCAAAATAGCATGGTGCTGGCATGAAAACAGACATATAGATCAATGGAACACAATAGAGAGCCCAGAAATATATCCATGACTTTGTGGTAAATTAACATTCAACAAAGGAATCAAGAGCACAAAATAGAATAAAGACAGTCCATTCAATAAACGGTGTTGGAAAAATTGGACAAATATGTGCAAAAAAAATGAAGCTAGACCACCAAATTACACCATACATGAGGACAAACTCAAAATGGATTAAAGACTTAAATGTAAGACTCAAAACAATACAAATCCTACCAAAAAAACCCATAAGCAGTAAAATCTCAAACATTTCTTGTGGCAATGTTTTTTCTGCTATGTCTTTCTGGGAAAGGAAACAAAAGAAAAAATAAACAGATGAGAATGATACCAAACTAAAAAGATTTTTCACAGTGAAGGAAACCATCAACAAAATGAAGATGACACACTGAATAGGAGAATGTATTCACCAATGATATGTCTGATAAGGGGATGATATCTCAGGTGACAAACAAGAGAATGCAGGAGCATGAGTCAGCTTACCACTAAATCTTGCATTGTTAATATCTTAGGAAATTGTGTTCTAAATATTTTCATGTTTTTTTTCTGCTTTTGCTGCTGCTTATCATGAAATACATACAGTAAGTCACCATGAGTCCTAAGAAGGTTAGTGATAGCATCAAAATAAAAAAGGAAATTTGTGAAAACAATGATAGTGCTTAAAAAAGAAATAATTGCTAAGTATGATAGAAGTGTTTGCCTGTCTGATCTGGCTACCGAGTATGGCATGGCAAAATCAATGATTAGCACAATTTTAAAACATAAAGAGGCCATCGAGATGGCCAATGTTGCTAAGGGTATGAAAGTGCTCATAAAACAATGATCACAGGCAATTGAAGAGGTAGGAAAAGATGATTTGGATTCATGAAAAACAGCTGGTAGTAATGTTTCAGAGGCAGTGATACGTGAAAAAGTAAAGATACTACATACTGACCCCTTGAAAGACACTCCGGGAACAAGTGTTGAAAGTGGTTCATTTAAGACTACTAGGGGCTGGTTCAATAAATTTAAAGGAAGTGGCATTCATAGTGTAGTGAGGTGTGGGGAGGCTGCTAGTTCTAACAATGTGGCTGCTGATAACTTTACGGCAAATTTCAAGCATATGTAGAGGCCAAGAGATTTGTTCCCCACGTGTTCCCCAAGTTGTGATGAGCCGGGCCTCTTTTAGAAGAAAATGCCAAAGAGGGCTTAGTGATGTAGGAGGAGAAGTCATTGACAGGACACAAGCCAATGAGGGACAGGCTGACATTGTTGTGAGGAAATGCAAGTGGGGACTTTAAATTGAAGCTTATACTCATCTACCATTCTGAAAACCCACAAGTTTTCAAGAAAAACAATGTCATGAGAAACTAGTTGAATGTGACGTGGAGGGCTAACAGCAAAGCTTGAGTAACCAGGCAATTTTTAACTGAGTGGATTCATGAAGTGTTTGCCTCAAGTGCAAAGAAATACCTCTGGGAATTCCTTCTTGTAATGGACAATGCTCCTGCCCACCCTCCAGGCTTGGAAGCTGAGTTTGTGGAGGTGTACAGCCTTGTCACTATTAGGTTATTGCCATATAACGCAACTCCCCTCATCCAGGCCATGGACAAGCAGGTCATTTCTAATTTTAAAAAATTCTACACAAAGGTACTGTTTCAGAAATGTTTTGAGGTGGCCTCTGAAATTCATTTAACCCTCAGAGAGTTCTGGAAGGAACATTTTACTGTCCTCATTTGCTTGAGGCTCATACAAAAAGCATGGGGGGAAGTATGTTCCAGGACCATGCAATCAGCCTGGAATAAATTGTGGCCTGAATCTGTTGCTGAAAGAGACTTTGAGGGCTTTGAGGATGAGCCTGTGTCTGTTGTAGAGGATACTCCGTCTCTGGACAAGTCCATGGGCTTGAAGGTAGATGATGATGATGTGGAAGAGTGGGTGGAGGACCACAACACTGAGATAACCACTGAGGGACTCTCAGACCTTCAGAGGGAGCAGAACAGATGGCAGCTGAGGGGCTCTCTTCAGAGGAGAGGGAAGGGAGAGAGTATATTCCTACTTCACTAATCAAGGAAATGCTTGGGAAATAGGGAGAAATGCAAAGTTTTATTGAAGAATATCATCCTGACAAAGAAGTAGTAAACCATTTGATAAACTTGTTCAATGACAATGCAATGTTTCACTTCAGTCAAGTGCTGAAACACAGGTAAAAACAAACATCACTGGATAGGTTTTCAGTGAAACAGAGGCCTGGTGAGCCTGAATCAAGTTCCATGAGAGCAAAGGGACAAAGGAGAGAAAGTACCTCAGGAGAACAGCAACCTGATGTTTTTATGTTAGGGGATTCTCCTCCCATCCCTCCATTCCTCCTTTCCATATTCAGTCATCAGTAGCTCTCAACATTAAAGGTAAGTTCTAGTGTATACATAAATTTTCATTTTTTACTGTATATTTACTTTTATATCCAGTAAAAGTAAATAAAAATAATGAAAAAGTAAAATTTTCATTATTTACTGTATATTTCCTTTTTATTAAGTTTTTATTTACACTTCATGTCCCTTTGTTTTTCAACTGTTTATTTATAAGTTGAACAATACACTAGACATGTACTATATATAAGAAAAGTGAAAGCAGGGAGTCAGGGGCTTGAAACAAATTATTTAAATTTATATTAGTTTTAATGGGAAAAAATGATTCAATTTTTAAACAGACCACTTCTTGAACAGCCTTCCAGAATAAATTAAGTTTGAGAACTGAGGTTGCACTGCATGTGGAATCTAATGAATAAAATAAACTAACCAACAAAATAGAAACAGACTTATAGATACAGAGAACAGACTGACAGCTGTCAGAAGTGAGGAGGACTGGGAGGCTTGGTGAAAAAGCTAAAGGGGTTAAGCAACCCCTCCCCTACCCAAACCAAACCTCATAGACACAGACTACAACATGGTGATTACCAGAGGGGAAAGGGAAGATAAAAGGTGATGGAAAGAGACTTTGGATGGTGAACACAGAATACAATATAAAGATGATGCATTATAAGATTGTACTTGAAACCTATATAATTTTATTAACCAATGTCACTCTAATAAATTCAATAAAAATTAAGAAAAGACTGATGATAAGTATTTACAATGATGTGGAGATTTGGAACCCTCAAACATATTTGATAGGAGTATAAAACGGTGCAATCTCTTTGTCTGTTTGGAAGTTTGTTATAAAATTATCATATGACCCAGAATCCACTTGTAGATATCTACCCTAGAATGAATGAAAACAAATGCACATGAACTGATAAATTGATAAATAAAATGCGCAATATTCAAACAATTAAATATTAAGCAGTGCAAAGCCGTAACAGGGAAGAAACTAAAAAACCTTATGCGGCATGAAAGAAGCCAGTTATAAAAGACCACATATTGTATGATTCTATTTATATGAAATGTCCAGAAGAGCTGATCTATAGAGACAGAAAGTTAATTAATGGTTGCTTGAGTTGGGGATGGGCAGGTGGAAGGGGTGAGAAATGGCTTCTAAGGCATACGACATTTCCATTTTGGGGTGAGAAAAATATCCTAAGGTACTGTTTCAGAAATGTTTTGAACTATGGTGATGGTCTCATAGCTTTGTAAATAAACCACATATATTTGAATTTTATACTTTGAATAGGTGAATTTTATGGCATATAAATTATATTTTTTATTATAAAATGCATTAAAATAATGACAATATCAGTTTTTGAGCAAAAGGATTTATAGTTTCAGAAATTTTACATAATGAATTGAGATAATTCATGATATTTCTTCCAGTTCATCATTCTTTCCTTCTATGGTTCTGTCATATATTTTTAAATGTGTTCTTTTTATAATTACCTACATAACTGTATTTTTTTTTTGTAGAAACTTTTTATGCTAGTTACCTATTAAGTCAATGGTGTTCAAATGTAGCTTTGAAATAAATGTCTGATTGAAAACCAAAGTGGACTTAAGATGGCTTAATTCACCTAAATAATGTCAAAATTAGCTTCTTAAAATGGTATGATACTCATTTCACCATTGACAAAAGAACTTACCTATAAATACAACCTATTAAAAAATATGTGATACTTACGAAGGGTCATTAATGACTGTTTTCAATGCATTGAGCAAGTCTGCACTAGACATTGTGCTGAAGTCCAGTCTGACAGCTGCTCCCTTGATCTTCATGCGAGCGATATTATCAGGTTGATCCACAAACAAAGGGATGCCCACCATAGGGATTCCGTGGTAAATGGCCTCATAGATTCCATTGGTTCCACCATGAGTTATAAAGGCTTTGGTTTTTGGATGACCTAGGATTGGGTGAATTCAGTAAATTATTAATTATAAATGTTAGAAATAAAATGAGAATTGGGCAAGAAAAGCACTGACAGAGGCAGTGTATTTTAGTTGACAGATTAATATACACATGAAATGGCACTATCTCAGAGCAAGAAGCACTTTAGTTGCTGAAGAGGTAAATGGATATTGGTGTGGCATTGTGACTTGAAAAATGAATACAAGATTGCTGGATGGACAAATGGAAAGAGAATGTTCTGGATAGAAAAAAATTGCATGTACAAAAAAAGAAAAGAAGATGGCATGTTAGAACATATTCTCTTAAATAGTGAAGCCAGATAGTATTACATGTAGGGTGTCAAGGCAGCAGGAAATGTGACTGGGGTGACTCTGGAACTGAAGAAAAAAAAATCACACTTTATCATGATCTTAACTTCATGAAAATATTATGGCTATTTCTCTACAGAAAATGGAGAGTCACTGAAAATAAAAGAGGTGATTTTATTTTTTAATGGCAGTGAATGCCCATACAGAAGAGGAAAGAATAGAAATGAGAAGAGAGAACTAGGAGACAGAGTGATGATCCAAGTAGTTGTTGAAAAATTTTTCATGAGAAGTAATTACACCTGAAATAAAGATATTTGATTCTACATATTAGGAAGGAGATTATGTATAATAAAATACTAACTTTTATATCTTATCCTTTCCCCTCAGAACTGGCAGACAAATATAAGGAAGTTAAGTTTTATTTTTGAATTTTTCAATAATAAATGTTCAGCAGATTTGTTTTCTTTTGAACTATTATGACTTTGTTTGGAGTTACTGTCATTTTTAATGTTTGTTTTCCAGAGTCTCACCAAGTAGGTCGTTCTGGGGGATCCACTTATAGAGCCGAGTATTTGGTCCTAAGGTATCTGGTTTATTGCCATCATATCTCCATATAACCTGTTACAGTGAAGAAAATATTTTATTCCATGAACTGAACTAAAGCTATGGCATGTTCAAATTCTAAAGAAATTAAGAGATAATCTAGTTAACTCCTTCATAGACAGATAAGTAATAAACACAAGATATTAAATATGAGAATGATTATAATGCTGGTATAGTAGAAATACCTACATTTTGTGTACTTATTTTTATATTCAAACAAGTATGAATGCAATCATGATACTGAATACATACAAGTACACAAATAAGATTATCAATAATGAATTGAAGTATTTAATAAATTTTTACATCTAGTCATTATAATTCTAGTGCAAAAAATAGGCGATTACTACACATTTATCTATTTATTATAATTGCTCTCATTTTAAAATGTAATCTTAACCTATTTTTTCAAGTGTTACAGAAGGGATTTTTCTTATATACACTTATTTCATAAGTTATTTTATTAGAATTTTACATCTTTTGATTTACAAAAGGCTAACCTATGCAATCAACTACTTGTAAGAAATTAATAATTCTGCTTATTAATAATTTGTAGTAATATAATTTCTGTTTAGTAAGCATATTTAATTTCTTTAGATTACTAATTATTAGGCACTGCTTCTAAGAAAAATTTAAAGAGGTAAGTTTTCTCCTCCCATGAACCAAAGATTTATTACTCTTTTTAAGTTCAAAATTTTTTTAAATGTAGAAAAGAAGAGCCTGTTGGCACTTTATAAATAACAGTATAGCTGTTGAAAAAATCCAAAATTTTGATGATGCTGAGGTTTTTTTCAATTACCTGTCAACACTTCCATGAGACATCACAAATCATGGACGACACTGATTTCCACGGGACCTGTGGCCAAGCCATTTTTCAAGCCCAAGGCCCAAATAGATTCTGATTTTGGAATTTCCCAGCAATTCTCTCTCATAAACTGGATTGTAATTTACACATGCTTAACATTTATTTGCTATATGAATGTTAAAGTAGTATCAGATTCTCAATTAAAAATTAGCATAGGTTATAAGCAGAAATTACATCAATTAGGAAACTAAAAAGCAGTTCATGAATACCCAAAGACTGCATGTCTATTCTATATATTGGAAAATAACTTATTACTCTGTTTTATAGAGAAGGGTGCATCTGAAACTTTCCTGTAATGGGCTTGCTTCTAGTTCATTCCTTATTACATTCCCTACTTCTTCCTCAACCAGGAAGAGTTACTATTCTCACTGGTTAGAAGCAGAGATTTTTGGGAGCAACATTTTATAAAGCCCAGGGTCACCTTAAGGGGCGTACCCATCTCCCTCCTTGCTATTTTATTTTCCTCCAATTTTAAAGGACATAGTCTACTAGGGCATGCCAGTTTTTCATTCTCTTAATCACTGTGGCTGGCCAAGGTACCTGAACATAGCTTAGCGAGTCTTGGCTATTCTTTCTCTGGATAACACCCTGAAATGCACACTGCACAGGCTTATTTCAAAAATGAGGGGAAGAGTGGCCTGGATTACCTAGCAAGTTTATAGTACATGCTATTATCAATTCCTGCTTAACATTACTGTTAGAATTTAACTCCTTTCTGAGAACATCTGTAGTATGTACAGTGTCTTCAGGAATCCTTCAATAAAAAGGAGCAAATGACTGGGCAGAGTTTGGTGACTTTGGTACCTACCTGTAATCCCATTATAACACCAAACTTTACATTGTACCTCTTACATACGTTTCATTCTGATCACAATGTTAATGCCGAAGTTATTTTCAAAAATACCCTTTTTATACTATTTTAGCACCTGTCTTGTATATCTTGGTTTGAATTCACACCTGAGATAAATAAGAGCTATCATAATGTCTTACATGTCACATAGGAAATTTATTTAAATAGATCTTTCAGAGACTTGTCCACTGTTACTGTACTTAGTCTAACCTTTTGTGGAATCTGGGCAAGGGCTGATGCAATCACATTGGCTCTTTCTTCTGAGATGTTACTGACAGCTGACCCAAGAGTAAACACGACAATACCATTTTTTCCAGAGCTCTGGGTAAACTCTTCCATTTCCTATAAAGAAAAATTTTGCTCCATCATAAAAGAACAATGCATAGCAAATGCCATTGAAAGGGATGCTTCAAACAACTGAGAGAAATCAAGAATTAACTGGAATTACGAGTACTTTTGTTTAAAAAAAATTGTGGTAAGTACACATAATATAAAATTTACCATCTTAACTGTTCTTAAGTGTACAATTTAGTAGCATGTATATTCACATTGTTGTGCAACCAATCTACAGAATATCTTCATCTTGCAAAACTAGAACTGTACTCATTATGCAATAATAATTCCCCCTTTGCCAATCTCTGGCAACCATGATTATACTTTCTGTCTCCATGGATTAGACTAGTCTAGGTAACTGATATAAGTGGAATCATACAGTATTTGCCCTTTTGTTGGTGGCCCATTTCACTTAACATGATAGCTTCTGGTTTCATCCATGTTGTAGCATGTGTCAGGATTTCTTTCAATTTCAAGGCTGAGTGAAATTGCATCTTATGTAAATACCACATTTTGTTTATTGATTTTTTTGTCGATACATGCTTGGGTGGCTTCCTTTGACTGCTGTGAAGAGTGCTGCTATAAATTTGGGTGTGCAAATATTTTATTGATGTATTGTGATTTTAATAGTTTTGGAAATATATCAAGAAGTGGACATGCCAAATATATGGCAATCCTATTTTCATTTTTTTGGGGGTAATCTCCATTCTGTTCTCAGTTGCTTTTTTAAATTATGTTTATTCTATTACAGTTGTCTAAATTTTTCCCCCCTTTACCCACCTCCACTCATCCCACCCCCATCCCCCACTCCCACAGTCAATTCTCACTGTTATCCATGTCCATGGGTCATTCATACATGTTCTTTGTCTAGACCCTTCCTCTTCTTTCTGCCATTGTCCTCTTTCCTCATCCCCTCTGGTCACTTTCAGTCTGCTCCATGTTTCCATGCCTGTGGTTTATTTTTTTTGTTAGTTTATTTTGTTGAATAGAGTCCACTTATAGGTGAGATCATATTATATTTGTCTTTTGCCAACTGGCTTATTTCACTTAGCTTAATATTCTCAAGTTCCATCCATGTTGTCACAAAAGGTAGGAGTTCCATTTTCCTTCCTTCCTCCCTCCCTCCCTCCCTTCCTTCCTTCCTTTCTTTTTAAATGCAGATTGATTTTATTTATTTTTTAAATGTCAAAGTCAATTATAAAATATTAAAAAAATTTAAAACCATTATAAAGTCTCAGCAATTAAAACATGATACCAGCACAGAAATTATCAAGTAGATCAATGACATATAATGAGCATTCTAGAAAGAAATGTATATATCTGTCTAACAATGTAATATATGATTAAATTGATATTTCAGATCAATGGGGAAAATAGAGCTTATTTAACAAATAAGGTGCATGGACCACTATTATTTGAAATAAAACAAATATAGCCCTATTTCATACATTACACAAAAAATATTCAGGTGAGTTAAAAATCAATATGTAGAATCTAAGGAGTTTTAGGAGAAAATACAAAATAATGTTTTTCTTACCCTGAAGTAAAATATTCAAACCCAGAAGCTATAAAGTAAAATATTGACAATATGACTATATTAAACATTTAAGACTATATAGTAATATACATATACAAAAAGTTAAAGGACAAGTAAAAAATGGGAAAGTATTTGCCACACATCTAATGCTAAAACAGTGTTAATAGTTTGGTTTTTTTTTTTCTTTAGGGAAAAAAATTCTACAAACCTTTAATGAATAAATGAGTAAAAGAATACCAAAAAGTCATTTAAAGCTTTTTTAAAATAATAGAAATAGGCAAGAAATATACAAAAACAGGTGTAGTTTCAACAAATAATAAAGGAACAATTAAAATAACACATCATTGTCACAATCAGATTAATGCATATTGAAAATATTGGTAATATCAAGTATTGGCATCTGTGAAAGGAACTAGATATTCATAGACTCTTTCTTCACCTTAAAGCAGTGTATTTAGCATATCTTGTAGTGCTGTTTTGATGGAGGTATATTCTTTTAGCCTCTTTTGTTTGGAAAATTCCTTATTTCCTCTTCCATTTTAATCCAGAGATTTGCTGGGTAGAGCAGACTTGGTTGCAGGCCTTTGCCTTTCATTCCTTGGAATATTTCTTGCCACTCCCTCCGGCTTGCAGTGTTTCCATTGAGAATTCTGCTGCTAGCCATATTGGGGCTCCCTTATATGTTACTACCAGTTTCTCTCTTGCTGCCTATAGGATTCTCTGTTTGTTTTTGCTATTTGCCATTTGAATTAATGATGTGTCTTGGAATGAGCCTCATTGGGTTCCTCTTGGATGGAACCCTCTGTGCTTACTGGACCTGTGTGACTTTTTCTCTCCTCCAGTTAGAGAAGTTTCCCATCGCTATTTATTCAAACAGGTTCTTTTTTTCTCCTCTTCTTCTTCTGGTATCCCTATTATATGCATATTATTATGTTTCAGGTTGTCCTGTATTTCCTTGAATGACTCTTCATTCTTTTTGAGTCTTTTTTTCATTTTCTTACTCTCTCTGGGAGCTTTTTTCAGTCTTGTCCTCCAGCTTGCTGATTTGATCCTCAGCTTCATATAACCTGCTTTGGATTCCTTCTACTGTGTTCTTCAATTTAGAAATTGTATTCTTTATTTCCTCTTGTCTCTTATTGATAGTTTCTATATCCTTTTTAATGCTGATATAGTTTGTAGTAAGTTCCTTGTAGTTTCCTTGTAGTTTTTTGTAATTCTGTCTGAGCTCACTGAGCTTATTGAGCTTCCTTAGAACCATTGTTTGGAACTCAATATCTGATAGTTAACTTGCCTCTATTTTATTTAGTTCTCTTTCTGGGGATTTCTCCTTTACCTTCAAGGGGAGGGCGGTATTTCCTTGTCTTCTCATTATTCATGAGACTCTTCTTTTTTGCTTCTGCTTCTGAAATTGGTCTGTCTTGATTTCCTGACTTTGTGGTGTGAACTTCTATGGTAGGAGACTGCTGTTTTTACTTTCTGGATCTGCCTGTGATGATATCAGATGTTGTCCCTATGTGACCTTAGGCAGTCTGTTCGAGACTTCCAGTAATCTACTGATTGTATCTGTTTCCTTCAGCTGTTAATCTAGTCACTCTGCACTCAGCATGCCGGCTTAGAGACCACAGGGTGGGGCAGAGTCCCTCCTTGAGGTGGGGTTCTTGGGTACTTTCATGCTGCTGCCCCTCAGGGAAGTGGTCTGTTGGAGCCAGATGGCTGTTGCTGTATGGGGGATGAGTCAGACAGGGATCCTGCCAGCTACTCCCTCAGTTCTCTCCCCAAAGCCACCTTCCGCAGTCTCTCCTCAGGCATCTCTAGCCCACTTTGCCCCCGCCTTTGCTGGAGATCAGGGTAAGTGACTGTAAATAAAAATTTATGCATTGGCTCTTTAAACAGTCCTTGTGTCTCCAACCACTTGTTTCTGGCAGAGAGTAACCCTGCCGCTTTTCGCAGCTGGCCATTTCCTGTGTACTTTTTGGGCTCTGGTTCTGTGGGCTGGAGATCCTCATTTATGATTTAGACCCCGCTCTTCTCAGGGTGATCCAAATGGCCCTTCTGGTGCTGCTGACATGGGTGCCCCGCCTGCTTTCTTGAGTCTCTACTGCACTCCTTACCAGTTAGATAGTACTAAAGGTGATTCTTCTGTCTCAGAGGTTATAAGGCTCCTCTCTTGCTATTTTTAAGTAATTTGTTCCAGGTGATTTCTCTACAGTTTAGTTGTAATTCTAGGTCAGTCCTGGGAGGATGTCACTGTGACTTCCATTCAATCCTCTGCCATCTTGATTCTCCTTTTGTTTTTTTTTGTTTTTTTTTTTAGCAGACTCAATCCTTCCATTCCTGTGGAAGGATGCATGTGTATTTTTCCAAGTGAATATATGTATATAAACAAGAAATGAAATAGAGCCAGAACATAGTAGTGAGAATGAAATACTGTTAGCCAATATTATATAAGACTCTTCATTTATAATGTTATTAATTACTAATACAGATTCTTAGAAGGAGGGCCCACAGTAATTCTGAATTCACCTTTAATTTTTTATCATTATAGTTCTATTAAATCAATTATGTTTATTTCAGTTGTCTTCTGTCAAATTATTTTAGCTTAGTCATTAGTGTCTTATTTCCCTAAGAATTATGATTGAAATCACTATATATCTTTTTCTTTCACTTATTTGTCAGAATTTCCCAAATACTTCCTCAAAGTCACTTCATAATGGCTGGAGGTTAAGTATAGTCGATATTCAGGGGTCTGGTATAAATGTTTGGAATTTCCTTGAAATAGTCCTAGGAGTCCTATATATAATTCAGAATTATATATTTATAGTTACATATTTGATTAACCATATTTCTGGGCTTATTAACATAGGATACCACTTACCCTGAAAGCATACTATAAAATTAATGTCTCATTAGGAAGTGTTGTGTGTAGCTAGCTCAGAGGGACGCCCGTTATCACTGTGCTGAGTCCTCGACAGAGCACATCAGTGATGGTGAGAGGGGTGCACGAGAGTTGAAACCCTCTCAGGTAGCTCACTTTTACCTATATAAGTCTCTGCTAAAGTCAGGTTTTACTAAAATTGTTTAAAAATAATTTCAATTTGTTATCCCTAATTATTGCCAATATTTATAATTTTATTACTTTTAGTACTAGTATAATTACTCATTGTACACTGTACTCTTCTGAAAAAATGAAATGTAGATGAGCCAAATATTTCCTGGATATTTTGTTAAAACTGCATACTTATCATATCTTTGTCTCTTTTGTTTTAAATTTATTATTTTTCTCTCTTTAAAAATAATGACTAAAACTTTCCAAAATAAAAATATACTTTCCAATTCTAATCATTGTCATAAAGATTTTTTTTTGAAACTCTGTGTTTATAGATAAAAAGATAAAAGGATAAAACTTTTAAAACTTTGTCCATGGAGGCTATATAATGCTTGGGACATTCTTTATACTTGCACTGTGATGACA